TCTCCCTTGGTTGGTTCTTGTGTATCCTAAGATCCAACCCTCAACCTCAGCATACTGGGAAGATGCTCTAACCAACTGAGCTACTTGGTGAGGGCTAGCAGGCAAACAATTTAAAAACAATGTGGACTTTTCATTGACTGTCAACTGCTTTGGGGCCAGCTGCAGGTGAATTGGCCTAGTAGCCTAAAAATGTATTAAGGAAGAAAGAAGAGGTTCAGTGCTCTAAAAATGACTCAAAGCCAAGATAGCAGACAGGCAGGCAGACAGGCATGGAAAAGAGGTCTGTATCCCCCACCTGCTAACTGTGTGTGTGACCTTGGGCCTTAACCATTCTGGTCCTCAGTTTGCATACCTGTAGAATGGGGATGCTACCAGTACAGGGGTGGGCAAACTTTTTGACTCGAGGGCCACAATGGGTTCTTAAACTGGACCCGGAGGGCCGGAACAAAAGCATGGATGGAGTGTTTGTGTGAACTAATATAAATTCAAAGTAAACATCATTACATAAAAGGGTACGGTCTTTTTTTTTTTTTAGTTTTATTCATTTCAAACGGGCCGGATCCAGCCCGTGGGCCGTAGTTTGCCCACGGCTGTACCAGTACCTCCGCAGAGTCCTTGTGTAAATTAGGCGAGTTGTTATATATGCAGACCGCTTAGCACCATTTATTTTTCAGATACAATATATATCCTCCTTCCTGCAGTTTAGGCCCTGAAAGGGTAGGACAGGGGCTGATTCTTTGCTCTCTCTTCGGTGCTCAGTGAAGACCCACTCAATTTCAGTTCAATTCAAGCACCAAGCCAGCACCTTTCCTTTTCCCCCTTACTCTTTCATTGGTCCTATTTGCCACTTCACTTCTCAGCCGGGCCGGCGGCCCACCTGCATGCTCTGGGGAGGGACCTGGGGGGCCTCATGCTGAGCTTTCTTGCTCCTGTCTGTCCTGCCTTGGGGATCTTCTCTGAAGGAGGACCATGCGGCCTAGCATTTCCACAAGAGAATGGAAGCCCTCACCCTCACTCTGCATCTCCTGGCGGACCACAAGTCTCCATCTCAGCATGTGGCACTGTCGGCTAAGGAGCCTCCTGGCCACCCCTGCCCTGGGATTCCCACTTCTAGGATGGTGGCTGCTAACGTGGTCTGCATACAGCAGTCCCCAGCATCTTCCTCAAATACCCCTGAATCGGATCATGTCAGCCCCTGCTCAACACCCTTCAGTGCCTGGCTCATCACTCCACATACAATCCCAACCCAATGTCTTGGCCAGACATCAGAATGCCATCCCCATGTAGCCCTGAGAGCTTTCTAGGACCAGTCTGTCCTGCAGCTGGAACGAGACTGGTGCTCCTTCCCTCCTGCACCTCACCTGGCCTGCTCATGCCCCTAACTCCTCTCAGGCACTTCTTTTTTTAAAAAAAAAGTATATATCTATGGATTTCAGAGAGGGAGGAAGAGGGAGAGAGAGAGGGAAACATCAGTGATGAGAGAGAATCATCAATCAGCTGCCTCTTGCACACCCCCCACTGGGGATCGAGCCTGCAACCTGGGCATGTATCCTCACCAGGAATCAAACCCTGATAGGTCAATGTTCAACCACTGAGCCACACCGGCCGGGCTCAGGCACTTCTTCATTCAGCACTCCCGATTCTGTCTGGGACGGGAGCTAAGTCCCTCCCTGCACCCATCTGGGGCCTGGCTCCCTGGTGTGAAGTGTCAGGCCTTAAGGGCCCCATGTAGCACGAACTAGCCTGACCCTCCTGTCTGCCAGCCAGCATGGAGGAGAGCCAGGGACAGGAGTCAAACACTGTCAATTTGATAGAGAAGGAGGTCCAGGAAGGAGGTGGAAAGTGACTTCTCTCAGGCCAACCTGGCAGAGTCCACCTGAGTCCTTGTGCAAGCTGAAAGTGACATGTCATCAAACCAAATTCCCAAGTCCATCAGGAAGACCACTGCTGGGTGCTTTATGGCCCAGCTTCTCTGTACCCTCCAACTGCCATGACCCTTGTGACAGGACACTCAGTTCTTCACAGATTCCCCCAGGGCCTGGCACACAAAGGCTGAAGGATCCCCAGCATCGGCTCCCTGTTCTGGGGGTCTTCTGGGGGGTCCTGCAAAGCATGACAATCTCCTGGCTAAGGGGCTAACACGTGTTCCTTAGATTCATTCTCCTGCTTCCTGGGGTGATATGCATTTAAGGAGAAGCCACTAACTATCACCTGTCTCAGTGATGGCTTGTTTGGCCTGTAGCATTTGACAACTGCTGCCTGTGCTCCTGACTACCCTAATCACCCTTGCTGCCTTTCTGCAGATAAGGTGACGCCAGCCCGAGGGCTGCAATGTGGGACACCCCCAAAAAAGGTGAGATCCCTCTGAACCACCAGAAGGCCCAAGGAACCTGGAGCAACCACAGGGCTTCCTGAACTCTGGGGAGAGAATCGCTGAGTGTGGGCAGGGCCCCTGGGAACCAGCAGCTCGGCTTCCTTATTTCACAGGGGAGGGACTCAGGGCCCCAGACGGGAGGTGAATGGCCAAGGTCATTTAGGGCAGTTGGTAGCACCGCCACACAGGTGAGGCCTCTTTGGCCTTTCTCAAATGCTTCCAAATGTATAAAGAAAACAGGATTACGACAAAAAATGAATGTCAAAAGACAATCACTAAAATATTTTTGAAAATGTGAGCTAGGGTTATACATGTCCTTCTTTACAAATAGGTTAAATTCCAGGATCTCCAAGCAGGTTGAATAACTACAGTAATTTCAAAGTAGTTATTCTGCCTGCCAATATGTCTTGTCATTTAGTTAATTTCAGGATATCTACAACAAAAGCTATGAGATATGAAATGACTGCTCTGTCGTTTTCATTGGTGACAGTCACCTGCCTAATGCTTTTATGCTCTGCGGCCTATATTCATAATTGCGGGAAAGGCCAAATTTCGGCTAGAGGCTGGTGAAAATAAAGAGGAAATAAAGATGAAAGTGGAAAAAATCATCTATTGTCACTGCAAACTCCCAGACACCTGTGCAGGACCCCTGCACTACAGCCTGAGTCTAGGAGTGAGCATGACAGTGCAACACCCAGGCGGCCTCTTGCAAGATTTGTAACGGATTTGGAACCCGGGGGGCGACGTCAGTACCCACCTCTCAAGGTTGTGGTGAGAACTCACAGTACTGGCGCGAAAAGGCCAGCGATCACCATCCGGGTACTTTGTCTCCCTCACTTTGCTGGGGGAAATTCAAATCTCAAAAAAAGGGCGGACCCGAAAAGCGGGCTTGCGCCT